TATCTTTTAGTATTTAATGCAACATGTTTGTGAACGTGCTGCACAGCTTCGTCCACAAGGTGGAGCCTCATTCGTCGAGGATGATCAGCTTTTGTAGTTCAGTTTCTGGTGAGAGGCTGAAGGTCCTGAAACACCAGGCTGATCATCGACTGGTGGTCAACGTTGGGCCGTCACCTCAGTTGGTGTGGTGTGTCTGTTGACACCAATCAGCCCTTGTTAGCAGCTTTTCAGCTACTTCATCATGTTGAGCCCGTCGGTGAATGACCTCCCTCTGACTGTCAGCTGAGCTCAGCGTCAGTGAGTGAAGGAGGAGCTAAAGTCCAGAGGGAGTGAGACCAAAATAACTTGTTCCATCAGGTCAGATTATTTTTCTCCTCAGCAGAAACGTTTCCTGATGGTTTGTGTTATTGTTCACTGGCACACGGTAAATATGCTCTGATTGTGTTGTTCATGTGCTAACTGGCTAACTAGCATCAAGACACTCTTCCTGGTGATGAATACAGACGACCGCCGTCTGCTGCTGTGGAGAATCATTTCCTCTAAGCAGGAGCAGAATGGATGAGCTGATTGGTCATCGGCTGGAGTCTTTGTGGTGTGTTCAGATGCAACTTTTTTGGTGGAGACACTGCGTCGACACAGCAGGGGGCCTTTGTCACTGCTTGTCCTTTGATGATTGACGTGGTGATTGTGTGTCTCTGAGCCTCGACAGCTTCACAGCAGAGACTTCTCCTGTTTCTGTTTCTGCTGTGAAGCTCAGAGATAAAGTGAAACTCTGTCTTTGCTGAATTGTTGAATGTTTTGAGGATGAGGATGATGTCATCATTGACCTCACAGTATCAGTCATCTGAAGGTTCTTGAGATCTCCAGAATGTGGCGTTGAACACGTTTTAGAATGAAGGCATAGTTTGAACGTCTCTCTAGCTCTGTTTTCATTCTTCTGTCACTTTTCATGTGACGACCGAGTGCAGCAGCATCGAGATGTTGATGCTTCTGCACTCGGCCGTCACCATGTCTCTGAACTGTGTGAACGCCCATTTAGCAAACACTGTACAGAGATCACACACACAACACATATCAGACAATCATAACCACATGATGTGTGTGTGTGTGCTCAGAGACCTGATAACATCCTGATAACGTGACCTTTGTAAATCTTGCAACTCAACGTTTGATTGGCTGTGAGTCTGTGCTTGTTTAAATAAAGTTTCAGCTGTGACTCTTCACAGTTATGGAACAAAAACATTTTTAATATCAGACATTTGAGTCAGGGAACAGATTTTAATAAAGTCAGTAACTGTTTCTGTCTGTCTGAATCTGTCTGTCTGAATCTGTCTGTCTGAATCTGAATCTGTCTGTCTGAATCTGTCTGTCTGAATCTGTCTGAATCTGTCTGTCTGAATCCGTCTGTCTGAATCTGCCTGAATCTGTCTGAATCTGTCTGAATCTATCTGTCTGAATCTGTCTGTCTGAATCTGTCTGAATCTATCTGTCTGAATCTGTCTGAATCCGTCTGTCTGAATCTGTTTGTCTGAATCTGTCTGAATCTGTCTGTCTGAATCTGTCTGAATCTGTTTGTCTGAATCTGTCTGAATCTGTCTGTCTGAATCTGTTTGTCTGAATCTGTCTGTCTGAATCTGTCTGTCTGAATCTGTTTGTCTGAATCTGTCTGAATCTGTCTGTGTCTGTCTGAATCTGTCTTAATCTGTCTGTCTGAATCAGTTTGAATCTGTCTGAATCTGTCTGTTTCTGTCTGAATCTGTCTGAATCTGTCTGTCTGAATCTGTCTGAATCTGTCTGTCTGAATCTGTCTAAATCTGTCTGAATCTGTCTGAATCCGTCTGTCTGAATCCGTCTGTCTGAATCTGTCTGTCTGAATCTGTCTGAATCCGTCTGTCTGAATCTGTCTGTCTGAATATGTCTGAATCTGTCTGAATTTGTCTGTCTGAATCTGTCTGAATCTGTCTGTCTGAATCTGTGATGATCATCTTTGATTTTTACATTATTGTTGTTCAGTTGTTTGTTTTTTAACTTGTGTTTGTTTCTGCTTGATTTTAAAACACGTGTTGCTCTCTGATAATGGCAGGTGTATCAATAAAGTTCATTCATTCAAACAGATACTGTGAAGGTGTCACTTTGTACTGCCGCTCACTGTGAACATTTATCACTATTTTTTACAAACAAACAAACAAACAAACAGTCAGTCTACTCGTGGAGAAATAAACCAGCAGATGAATCCATAATGATAGTAATACTCTGACTCACTCAGTGTTACTGCAGTAATATTTCACACAGTGATGTAGGAGACGCTGCTCCTCAGAACAACAGTCCCCTCCAGTGATTCAGAGTGGAGCTGCAGCTCAGAGTCAGATTAACCATCAGTCATGTTAAATATGACATTATTTCTGACTTTAAATGTGAGTCATCTCTGAACACTGTAGAAACGTTCCGTCACTTCACACCTTAAAGTCCAGCTGAGACCAAAGATTCACAACATCTACTGTCAATGCTCTGTTCTGTTGACAGGAAGTGACCACCATGAGACGGCGCATCATCTCTAGTCAACAACTCTCTGTGCTTCTGATCTGTGACGTTGACAGGAAGTGACCACCATGAGACGGCGTATCATCTCTAGTCAACAACTCTCTGTGCTTCTGATCTGTAACACTGACAGGAAGTGACCGCCATGAGACGGTGCATCATCTCTAGTCAACAACTCTCTGTGCTTCTGATCTGTAACGTTGACAGGAAGTGACCACCATGAGACGGCGTATCATCTCTAGTCAACGACTCTCTGTGCTTCTGATCTGTAACGTTGACAGGAAGCGACCACCATGAGACGGTGTATCATCTCTAGTCAACAACTCTCTGTGCTTCTGATCTGTAACGTTGACAGGAAGTGACCACCATGAGACGGCGTATCATCTCTAGTCAACAACTCTCTGTGCTTCTGATCTGTAACGTTGACAGGAAGTGACCACCATGAGACGGCGTATCATCTCTAGTCAACAACTCTCTGTGCTTCTGATCTGTAACGTTGACAGGAAGTGACCACCATGAGACGGCGTATCATCTCTAGTCAACAACTCTCTGTGCTTCTGATCTGTAACGTTGACAGGAAGTGACCACCATGAGACGGCGTATCATCTCTAGTCAACAACTCTCTGTGCTTCTGATCTGTAACGTTGACAGGAAGTGACCACCATGAGACGGCGTATCATCTCTAGTCAACAACTCTCTGTGCTTCTGATCTGTAACGTTGACAGGAAGTGACCACCATGAGACGGCGTATCATCTCTAGTCAACAACTCTCTGTGCTTCTGATCTGTAACGTTGACAGGAAGTGACCGCCATGAGACGGCGTATCATCTCTAGTCAACAACTCTCTGTGCTTCTGATCTGTAACGTTGACAGGAAGTGACCGCCATGAGACGGCGTATCATCTCTAGTCAACAACTCTCTGTGCTTCTGATCTGTAACGTTGACAGGAAGTGACCGCCATGAGACGGCGTATCATCTCTAGTCAACAACTCTCTGTGCTTCTGATCTGTAACGTTGACAGGAAGTGACCGCCATGAGACGGCGTATCATCTCTAGTCAACAACTCTCTGTGCTTCTGATCTGTAACGTTGACAGGAAGTGACCGCCATGAGACGGTGTATCATGTCTAGTCAACAACTCTCTGTGCTTCTGATCTGTAACGTTGACAGGAAGTGACCGCCATGAGACGGTGTATCATCTGTAGTCAACGACTCTCTGTGCTTCTGATCTGTAACGTTGACAGGAAGTGACCACCATGAGACGGCGTATCATGTCTAGTCAACAACTCTCTGTGCTTCTGATCTGTAACGTTGACAGGAAGTGACCGCCATGAGACGGTGTATCATCTGTAGTCAACGACTCTCTGTGCTTCTGATCTGTAACGTTGACAGGAAGTGACCACCATGAGACGGCGTATCATGTCTAGTCAACAACTCTCTGTGCTTCTGATCTGTAACGTTGACAGGAAGCGACCACCATGAGACGGTGTATCATCTGTAGTCAACGACTCTCTGTGCTTCTGATCTGTAACGTTGACAGGAAGTGACCACGATGAGACGGCGTATCATGTCTAGTCAATAACTCTCTGTGCTTCCGTTCTGATTTGCAGCTTTTCAGACTTATTTTGTGGCTGAATATAATTTGTAGCTTCTTAAAATCTGAATGAGGATAGTGATAGTGAGATACTGGCAACAGTGATGAAACAAGAGTCTGAATTCAGTGGTGAGGACACAGGAAAGGTTTTCTTCTGATGACTCTTCCGTGAAGGTCATACCTGTCCAGGCGTGTCTGCACAGTAGAACAGTGCACCACCACTCTTCCTTTCTAACAATCCTACGAGCAGCTCTCTCACAAAGTTTTCAGCTTGACCTCCACAGTTCCTGTTAACTGCCATTTCTTAATGACATGACCAAGTGAGGAAACAGCTCCCTGAAAACACTTTGCTATCTTCTTCTAGTCGTCATGATGACGCACTGACACATGTTGGCACACTTACGTAGTAGCAATGTTATACCAACATATGTTTGTCATTTGGATTTTTACTTTCTGTTTTACAATATGAAGGGATGTCTAAAATGTTCATCAATCTTGAGGACATAAAAAATGTAAAGACATTAAAGGGTTAATTACAGGAGACAGGCCGTAGAGATGCTGGACATGGTTCCCAGTAAAACCACCATCACACCACTAGAGGGCAGCATGACTGAGAGAGAGAGTGAGAGAGAGAGAGAGAGAGAGAGAGAGAGTGTGTGTGTGTGTTTGTGTGTGTGAGAGAGGGAAAAAGAGAAAAAGAAAGTATGTGTGCATGATTGTGCAGACAAATGTGTGTATTTGTGTGTGTGCGTATGTGTGTGCCAATGTTGTTTGTATGCATGTGTTTGTGTTTGCCTGTCACTGTGTGTGACTGTGTGTATTTCAGTGTGTGTGTATCCTGACAAAGGCTCCATCCAGCCGTGTTGCAGAGGGCTGCTGGTTCCCAGAGACCCTCACAGCTCCAGGACGCCCAGTCTCTCTGCAGCCTGCAGCTCAGACACACCAGCCCTGACACGGACTCAGACCTCAGCCTGCTCCCCCTCCTTCTCCTGGAGCTCCGACACCTGTGTGGACTAATGGACAGGAAACACGGAGTCCAGTTTTAAAGTGGGAAAGTTTGGAGTCTATAGAGACAACGCCTGAAGAGAAGAGAAGAGAAGAGAAGAGAAGAGAAGAGAAGAACCTCAGAGGATATCTTCATCTTGTCTGGACTACAATCTTATTTAAGATCTCAAGGACGTCTCAGCAAACATCAGCGTTTTTTTTTCATCAATTAGAAACTTTCTGTTTGACATCTAACAGCTGACACTCTGGTGTAATTTAACTGTTTTCTGGATTGGCGACTTTGCCAAACACGTCACTGTCCTCTGGTGATTTTCCTCAGACTCACTCTGAACCAGACCTTTCATCATCTGAGAGGTTGCGGGTTCGTCTCCTGGTTCTGAGTTCTTGGATTTTTTTTGGAACGATTTTCTGAAACTTAATTGAAGCTCTGAAAGAATTTTGCACCTTCATTCTGTCATCACGTCTTGTAAAGCTCAAACACCGATCCTAAAACTGTCTGTCACAGTTAAAACCTGCGTCATGGCCTTGTCTGTTGGTCTGTGGGTATGTCTCTGCCTGCCGCTGCTGTTCATGGACGCAAAGAGCGTTGGACAACATGACAGTCAGAGCGACGCCCTTGACCAACCCTCCTCCCTCGTCAAACTGGAACCTCTTTGGATCACCAAGCAGCAGCTCAGGACCGTGGACGCCCCCAACCACAGCCTCCCCCTCCCCGAGCTGCTGGATCTAGACGTGGACCAGCACCATCGCCAGGCCCGCGGCGCTGATGAGGAGGAGCAACAGTCCACTTTCAGCCAATCCTTCGAGAATGACTCGGTGACGGCGCCACAGGCCACTGAGTTTGACAACGGGACAAAAGTAGGAGCGGGAGAGACTGGTAATCATGATGATAACACCAATCTCCATGGAAATGCCTCCAGCTCTGACCACGATGCCCCGGGACTCTTCAACCCCTTCTACCCGCTGGCAGACAGCTCGTACGCAGCATACGCGGTCCTCTTCCTGGCCGGCCTGGTGCTGGCGGTGGGCGTGGTGGGAAATATGGCGGTAATGTGTATAGTCTGGAACAACTACTACATGAGGTCAGCCTGGAACTACCTGCTGGCCAGCATGGCATTCTGGGACTTCCTGGTCCTGGTGCTCTGCCTTCCTGTGGTGGTCCTAAACCAGCTCTCCCATAGGAGGATCCTGGGTGACATCACCTGCCGCATGGTGCCTTATATGGAGGTGGGTGGGGCTTATGTGCAAGTGGGATAAGACCTTTGGGGATTCTGATTAACATATTGTGTTTGTTGTGCCATACTTTTATTTTCAACTTCCTGTGTGCTAATAAACTAAACTCAGCTGTACAGGAAGTGTGTGAGGAGGAAGCGGAAGTGTGTGAGAAGGAAGAGGAAGTGTGTGAGGGGGAAGAGGGAGGAAATGTGTGAGGACGAAGAGGAAGTGTGTGAGGAGGAGGAAGTGTGTTAGGAGGAAGAGGAAGTGTGTGAGGAGGAGGAAGTGTGTTAGGAGGAAGAGGAAGTGTGTGAAGAGGAAGAGGAAGTGAGTGAGGAGGAAGAGGAATTGTGTGAGGAGGAAGAGGAAGTGTGTGAGGACGAAGAGGAAGTGTGTGAGGAGGAAGAGGAAGTGTGTGAGAAGGAAGAGGGAGGAAGTGTGTGAGGATGAAGAGGAAGTGTGTGAGGAGGAGGAGGGAGTGTGTTAGGAGGAAGAGGAAGTCTGTGAAGAGGAAGAGGAAGTGAGTGAGGAGGAAGAGGAATTGTGTGAGGAGGAAGAGGAAGTGTGTGAGGACGAAGAGGAAGTGTGTGAGGAGGAGGAAGTGTGTGAGGAGGAAGAGGAAGTGTGTGAGGAGGAGGAGGGAGTGTGTGAGGAGGAAGAGGAAGTGTGTGAGGACGAAGTGTGTTAGGAGGAAAAGGAAGTGTGAGTCAGAGAGAGTCAGAAGGCTTTCACTAAAACAACCACCATGTCCTGCACTGATGACGTCATCCTTATCGTGGACACATCAGTACTCATTAGTATTGTGTCAGTGTGAGTTTCCTCCAGGTGCTCCGACATGTTCTCCCCGTGTAAGCGTGGGTTTCCTCCAGGTGCTCCGACAAGTTCTCCCCGTGTCAGCGTGGGTTTCTCCAGGTGCTCTGACATGTTCTCCCCATGTAAGCATGGGTTTCCTCCAGATGCTCCAACATGTTCTCCCTGTGTCAGCGTGGGTTTCCTCCAGGTGCTCTGACATGTTCTCCCCGTGTCAGCGTGGGTTTCCCCCAGGTGCTCTGACATGTTCTCCCTGTGTCAGCGTGGGTTTCCTCCAGGTGCTCCAACATGTTCTCCTTGTGTCAGCGTGGGTTTCCTCCTGGTGCTCCGACATGTTCTCCCTGTGTCAGCGTGGGTTTCCTCCAGGTGCTCTGACATGTTCTCCCTGTGTCAGCGTGGGTTTCCTCCAGGTCCTCCGACATTTTCTCCCTGTGTCAGTGTGGGTTTCCTCCAGGTGCTCTGACATGTTCTCCCTGTGTCAGTGTGGGTTTCCTCCAGGTGCTCTGACATGTTCACTGCTGCATGAGTTCACTACTCCACCAGGTCACTGCTTCATCATTTCACTGCTCCTCAGTTCACTGCTCCATCAGGTCACTGCTTCTCAGTTCACTGCTCCATCAGGTCACTGCTCCATCAATTCACTGTGCTATTAGGGCACTGCTCTGTCATGTCACTGCTCCATCAGGTCACTGCTCCATCAGGTCACCGCTCCTCAGGTCACTGTGCTATTAGGTCACTGTTCTGTCAGGTCACTGCTCCATCAGGTCACTGCTCCATCAGTTCACTGCTCCATCAGGTCACTGCTCCTCAGGTCACTGCTCTGTCAGGTCACTGCTCCATCAGGTCACTGCTCCATCAGGTCACTGCTCCATCAGGTCACTGCTCCATCAGTTCACTGCTCCTCAGGTCACTGCTCCATCAGTTCACTGCTCCATCAGTTCACTGCTCCTCAGTGCAGTGCTCCATCGGGTCACTGTTCCTCAGTTCACTGCTCCATCAGGTCACTGCTCCTCAGTTCATTGCTCCATCAGGTTACTGCTCCATCAGGTCACTGCTCCATCAGGTCACTGCTCCTCAGTTCATTGCTCCATCAGGTTACTGCTCCATCAGGTCACTGCTCCATCAGGTCACTGCTCCTCAGATCACTGTGCTATTAGGTCACTGCTCTGTCAGGTCACTGCTCCATCAGTTCACTGCTCCTCAGTGTAGTGCTCCATCGGGTCACTGTTCCTCAGTTCACTGCTCCATCAGGTCACTGCTCCTCAGGTCATTGCTCCATCAGGTCACTGCTTCATCAGTTCACTGCTTCATCAGTTCACTGCTCCATCAGTTCACTGCTCCATCAGGTCACTGCTCCATCAGTTCACTGCTCCTCAGGTCACTGTGCTATTAGGTCACTGCTCTGTCAGGTCACTGCTCCATCAGTTTACTGCTCCATCAGGTCACTGCTCCTCTGTTCAGTGCTCCATTAGGTCACTGCTCTGTCAGATCACTGCTCCATCAGTTCACTGCTCCATTAGGTCACTGCTCCATCAGGTCACCGCTCCATCAGGTTACTGCTCCTCAGTTCACTGCTCCTCAGTTCACTGCTCCATCAGGTCACTGCTCCATCAGTTCACTGCTCCATCAGGTCACTGCTCCTCAGTTCACTGCTCCATCAGTTCACTGCTCCATCAGGTCACTGCTCCTCAGTTCACTGCTCCATCAGTTCACTGCTCCATCAGGTCACTGCTCCTCAGTTCACTGCTCCATCAGGTCACTGCTCCATCAGTTTACTGCTCCATCAGTTCACTGCTCCTCAGTTCAGTGCTCCATCAGTTCACTGCTCCATCAGGTCACTGCCCCTCAGTTCAGTGCTCCATCAGTTCACTGCTCCATCCATTCACTGCTCCATAAGGGCACTGCTCCTTTGTTCAGTGCTCCATCAGTTCACTGCTCTGTCAGGTCACTGCTCCATCAGTTCACTGCTCTGTCAGGTCACTGCTCCATCAGTTCACTGCTCCATCAGTTCACTGCTCCATCAGGTAACTGCTGTGTCAGATCACTGGTCCATCAGGCAAATGCTGTGTCAGATCACTGCTCTGTCAGGTCACTGCTCCGTCTGGTTCAGTGGTCAGAGGACTCCTCTGTTTGTCGTTTTAGTTCTGACTTTGTGCTGGATCAGATTTCATCAAACAGCCGTCACACAGACTGAAGCTGTGAGTCGGTTGTCATGGTAACCTGTTGCTATCTCTGCTGGAACATCCTGCTGTTGCTTTCAATGTTTGACGGGAACAAATTTGTGAAACTTTTTTTGTATGATTTGTGACCCTCCGTCTGTGGCGGCCATATTACAGCTCTGCTCAGCTGAACAGACGTGATTGATCAGTTTTTCAGATTTAGATTTTGTTCTCTTTGTTTCCACCTGCAATCTTTGTGCTAAGCTAGGCTAACATGTCTTGGACTTGTCTCTGTAATGGGCATGCAAACATCAAACTGATCAGACTCTGGAGACAGTGGCAAAGCAATATTCATGTATTTCCCAAAATGTCAGAGACTTTCTTTATAAGTGCTCCTGTGGATGAAGGCGTAGATGAAGATGTAGATGAAGATGTAGATGATGTAGATGAAGACGTAGGCTAGATAAAGCCGTAGATAAAGTCTACAATGAAGATATAGGTGAAGACGTAGATGAAGACATAGGTGAAGATGTAGATGATGTAGATGAAGATGTAGATAAAGACGTAGATGAAGATGTAGGTGATGTAGATGAAGACGTAGGTGAAGATGTAGATGAAGACATAGATGAAGATGTAGATGATGTAGATGAAGACGCAGATAAAGTCAAAGATGAAGATGTAGATGAAGACGTAGGCTAGATAAAGATGTAGATGAAGACGTACATGAAGTCTAAGATGAAGACATAGATGAAGATGTAAAGTCTAAGATGAAGATATAGGCTAGATAAAAACGTAGATGAAGACGTAGTTGAAGATGTAGATGAAGACGTAGATGAAGACATAGATAAAGTCTAAGATGAAGATGTAGATGAAGACGTAGGCTAGATAAAGACGTAGATGAAGACATAGATAAAGTCTAAGATGAAGATGTAGATGATGTAGATGAAGACGTAGATGAAGACAGGTGAAGATGTAGATGAAGACGTAGATGATGTAGATGAAGACGTAGATGAAGACGTAGATGATGTAGATGAAGATGTAGATAAAGACATAGATGAAGATGTAGGTGATGTAGATGAAGACGTAGATGAAGATGTAGATGGCAACATAGATGAAGATGAAGAAGCCTTTGTGCTCCACTGTCTCTCAGATTAACTCATATCGCAGCGGTGCCTGGACAGTGTGACGTGTGTGGTTGTGCTGCTGCCGTGGTCCTGCCAGATGCCTCCTGCTGCTGCTGCCATCATTAGTCATTAGTCATACTTCTACTGTTATTATACACATATGACTATTGTCACACATGTATACTGCCAGATATTAATACATACTTTCAACATATTGTACCACAGTAGCCAGAACTATAACTATA